CCCAATCCTGATCCCAATCCTGACCCCGATCCTGCCCTGAGCCCAATCCCAAAATCCCAATCCCAAAATCCCAATCCTGATCCCAGTGCTAACCCTGCCCCAATCCTGATCCCAATCCTGACCCCGATCCTGCCCTGAGCCCAATCCCAAAATCCCAATCCCAAAATCCCAATCCTGATCCCAGTGCTGACCCTGCCCCAATCCCGAACCCAATCCTGACCCCGATCCTGCCCCGATCCCAATCCCAAAATCCCAACCCCGATCCCGGCGCTGACCCTGCCCCGATCCCAATCCCAAAATCCCAATCCCAAAATCCCGATCCCGGTGCTGACCCTGCCCCTCTGTCCCGCAGGAGCCGGAGCTGGGCGGGAGCCGGGGCAGCCCCAGGAGCCGGAGCCGGAGCTGGGCCGGGAGAGCCCCGGGACCCCCCTGGGAACCTCTGGGGACCACCCGGGACCCCCCTGGATCCCCCAGGACCCTCTGGGGACCCCCCAGGATCCCCCCTGGGACCCCCCAGGATCCCCCGGGATTCCCCTGGGACCCTCTGGGGACCCCCCGGGATCCCCCCGGGACCCCTCTGGATCCCCCAGGACCCTCTGGGGACCTCCCAGGATCCCCCCGGGACCCCCCGGGATTCCCCTGGGACCCTCTGGGGACCCCTGGGATCCCCCCGGGATTCCCCCCGGGACCTCCGGGAATCCCCCGGGACCCCCGGGGCCGGGTCCCCCCGTAGTTCCCGAGCGGAGCGGCCGGAACCCCCCCGTGTCCTGTACCCCCCCCCCTCAATAAATGTCTCTTGGGTTTTTTTTTTAATTGGTTTTTATCATCATTGTTAATTTCAGAGCTGGGGGTGGCTGCTTCCTCCTGATTGGTCACCGCAGCTGTCAGTCACAGCCTGGCTCCGCCCCACCTGACTGTCGTGTCCCCAGGTGTCCCAAAGTGTCCCCAAAGTGTCCCCTGGGTGTCCCTGAGTGTCCCCAGGTGTCCCTGAGTGTCCCCAGGGTGTCCGCAGATGTCCCCAGGGTGTCCCTGGGTATCCCAGGGTGTCCTAGAATGTCCCCAGGGTGTCCCCAGGTGTCCCAAAGTGTCCCCAAAGTGTCCCCTGGGTGTCCCTGGGTATCCCAGGGTGTCCCTGAGTATCCCCAGGGTGTCCCTGGGTATCCCAGGGTGTCCCTGAATGTCCCCAGGGTGTCCCCAGGTGTCCCAAAGTGTCCCCAAAGTGTCCCCTGGGTGTCCCTGAATGTCCCCAGGGTGTCCCACCCCCCCCCATCACTGATTGCCACCTTCCCCTTTTGAAGGAGCCCTCGGAGGTGAGCCTGGCGACACTCTGGGGACACTTTGGGGACACCCTGGGGACACTCAGGGACACCCTGGGACACCCTGGGGACACTCAGGGACACCCTGGGGACACCTGGGGACACCCTGGGGACACCCTGGGGACACTGCAGGGACAGGGCTGGGGACGAAGCAGCCACGGAGGGGCCAGACACAACACCTGGCGGATGACACGGGGGTGCCACCGCTGTCCCCCAGAGTCCCCAGATGTCCCCAGCCCCTGGTGGGTGATACAGAGGTGCCACCCCTGTCCCCAAATGTCCCCAAGTGTCCTCAGCTGTCCCCAAGTGTCCCCCAATGTCCCCCGCTGTTCTCCAAACGGCCCCATTAATATCCCCAGATGTCCCCAAATGTCCCCAGTGGCCCCAAATGTCCCCAAATGTCCCCAAATGTCCCCAGATGTCCCCAAATGTCCCCAATGCCCCCATTAATCTCCCCAAATCTCCCCCCTGTCCCCGCCCCCCCCCCGTGACACGCTCCGGGCGCCATCAGCAGAACAGGCCCCACTTCCGGTCACGTGCGCGCCGAGCCAGCCAATCAGCCCAGCCCCGGTAAAGCGGTGACGTCAGCGCTTCCCCGGTCACTATGGCAACTGCGCCGCCCCCTCCGCTTCCGGCAGCGCCGTGCAGCCGTGATTGACAGCTAGATCGTCCAATCAACGCCTGTCTAGGGAAGCGCGGGAAAGACTGGTCCGCCCACCGCGCGGAAGCGCGCAGCGATTGGTGGGGTGGAGGAAGAATTGGACCAATCAGGCCGGCGGGGTGGGGCCAACGAGAGTGATTGGCAGGCGAGCAGCCAATCAGCGGCGGGCGCTCTTCCGGCTCCACGTCGGCAGCGGCGGAGGCAAAATGGAGACGCTGGTGCTGGTGAGGGACGGGGAAACTGAGGCACGGGCGAACTGGGAGTACTGAGGAGAAACTGAGGCACGGGAGGGACTGGGGGGCCTGGTGGGAAACTGAGGCACGGGGGGAACTGAGGGTACTGAGGGGAAACTGAGGCACGGGGGGGACTGGGAGTACTGAGGGGAAACTGAGGCACGGGGGAACTGGGAGTACTGAGGAGAAACTGAGGCACGGGGGGAACTGGGGTACTGAGGGGAAACTGAAGCACGGGGGGAACTGGGGGGGTTCAGTCCAACACTGGGCAGTGACACTGGGGACAGTTTGGGGACAATTTGGGGACAGTTTGGCAGAGTTTGGGTGCCCGGGCCGGGGTTCTGTCCTACACTGGGCTGTGGCTCTGGGGACAGTTTTGGGGACAGGTTGGCACGGTTTGGCACAGGTTGGCACGATTTGGGCACTCAGGCCGGGGTTCTGTCCTACACTGGGCTGTGGCTCTGGGCAGTCAGTGCATCACAGAACTTGGTCCTGGGCACCCCCGGCACCGCGGGACCCGCTGGGACAGCGACAGGGAGGGGACAGAGGGACAGGGACAGAGGGACAGGGACAGACAGACAGGGGACAGGGACACAGGGACAGGGACACAGGGACAGGGACGGGGGGCACAGGCCGTGGGGACAGGGATGGGGAGGACATGGTGACAGTGACCCCAGCACAGGCTCGCCCGCTGTCCCTGTCCCGGGGGTGGCACTGTCCCTGTCCCTGTCCCCAGGGGTGTGGTGGCACTGTCCTTGTCCCTGTCCTGTCCCGTCCCCAGGAGCCGTCCCTGTACACGGTCAAGGCCATCATCATCCTCGACAACGACGGCGAGCGGCTCTTCGCAAAGGTGGGGACACTGGGACACCCAGGGGACACCCAGGGGGGATATTGGGGACACTCAGGGGACACTGGGGACAGCCAGGGGACACCTTGGGGACAGGGGCACAGTGCCCTGAGGGGGATGCGGCTCTGGGCAAGGGCCAGGGTGGGTGGCACGGGTGTCAAGGGGTGGCCGATGTCCCTGATGATGTCCCCGTGTCCGTGTCCCCATGTCCCCGATGATGTCCCCATGTCTGTGTCCCCATGTCCCCGATGATGTCCCCATGTCCCCATGACGTCCCGTGTCTGTGTCCCAGTACTACGATGACACGTACCCCAGCGTGAAGGAGCAGCGCGCCTTCGAGAAGAACATCTTCAACAAGACCCACCGCAGTGACAGTGAGTGACACCGAGGGGACACTGAGGGGACACTGAGTGACACAGGGGTGGCACGGGGGTGACACGGGGTCACAGGGACACAGGACATCTTCAGCAAGACCCACCGCAGTGACAGTGAGTGACACGGGGACACTGAGGGGACACTGAGTGACACGGGGGTGGCACTGTGTGACACAGGGGTGGCACAGGTGACACGCAGGTGACAGTGTGGCTGTCCCCAGGTGAGATCGCGCTGCTGGACGGGCTGACCGTGGTGTACAAGAGCAGCATCGACCTGTACTGCTGCGTCATCGGGAGTGCCACCCAGAACGAGGTGGGACACGGGGACACGGGGACATGGGGGGGACATGGGGGGACAGAGCAGGACAGAGCGGGGACACTGCTGGGACACCGTGGGGACTCTGCAGGGGCACGAGGACACCCAGGGCTGCTGGGGGACCCCAGGTGGATTGTGACCCCGCTGTCCCCTCTGTGTCCCCATGTGACCCCGCTGTCCCCTCTTTGTCCCCTCTGTCCCCTCTGTGTCCCCTCCGTGTCCCCTCTGTCCCCAGCTGATGCTGACGGCCGTGCTGAACTGCCTGTTCGACTCGCTGAGTCAAATGCTGAGGTAGGGACACACTGGGGACACCTGGGGACGCCTGGGACACACCTGGGGACACCTGGGGACACCTGGGACACACCTGGGGACACCTGGGACACCTGGGGACACTCCTGGGGACAGTTCTGTGGGGTGTCCCCGATGTCCCTGTGGGGTATCCGTGATGTCCCCATGTCCCCATATCTCTCTGTCCCCATGTCCCCAATGTCCCCTGTCCCTGTCCCTGTCTCAGGAAGAACGTGGAGCGCCGGGCGCTGCTGGACAACATGGAGGGGCTGTTCCTGGCCGTGGACGAGATCGTGGATGGAGGGTGGGTCCCTGTCCTTGTCCCTGCCACTGCCACTGTCACTGTCACCTCCCTGTCCCTGTCCCTGCCACTGTCACCTCCCCTGTCACCTCGCTGGGACTGTTCACTGCCACTGTCACCTCCTGGGGACTGTCACCTACCTGGGATTGTCACCTCCCTGGGACTGTCACTGTCACCCTGGGACTGGCACTGCCACCCCGGGCTCTGTCCCCGCAGTGCTGAGGTGTCCCTGTCCCCTCTGTCCCTGTCCTGTCCCATCCCTGTCCTGTCCCATCCCTGTCCCCGTCCCTGTCCCATTCCTGTCCTGTCCCATCCCTGTCCCTGTCCCATCCCTGTCCCTGTCCCATCCCTGTCCCCGTCCCTGTCCCATCCCTGTCCTGTCCCATCCCTGTCCCTGTCCCATCCCTGTCCCTGTCCCATCCGTGTCCCCGTCCCTGTCCCATTCCTGTCCTGTCCCATCCCTGTCCC